AAAACTAAAGTTGCCACGTGTTTCTCCGTCATCTGGAGAGTTATTAAAAACAGGATGCCATATTTGAAATCTCCATTAAAAAGTGTCCGAATAATGTGTAGAAATGTCTACTACGATTAGTTTATCATTAAAAAAATAAAAACGTAAATCAGAAATTTTTGTTTTTTTGAGATATCTTCAAAACTATTGAAAATATTTGAAATGTCTTTTCAGATTCTTATTCAGCACGAAAATTGGCAACTTTGCCCCCATTAACCAACTTTGTATCTCTTAAGATAAGTGAAATCCCCATAGTGGCACTCAAAAAATGGTCACCGTGTATATTCTATTTTTTTTTATATCATCGCCATCGTCCGATATCGCATTAATTGGATTCCCTGTAAAAAAACGTTAGACCACTTAAACTATTGGTACCCATTTTGCAGCAACAAAACACATCAGACTTATTACTGTATCTATTTATTGGTTAAGTTATAAATTATAAATGTTATAAATCAGGGAGTTCTAAACTAATACAGTTCAGAATGAAAAACCAGTACACTGATAATAAAATCGCCAAAAGTTTACACAACTTTAAAACAACCGTACCACAGATTATAGACAAATTAGACGTCATTTTAAAAACAAGACTAGCACATGCGCTTAAAATTCAGTTTAAAATATAAAATAAATTATGCACATTAGTAACCTTAAATCCCTAGATGTACAGGGTGAGTTGACTCGACGATTGCACGGAGTAACTTAATGCCTTGAAGATAAGATTTTTTGATAGAGTGCTTTTGTGTTATGATATGGTCGAATATTCTCCACATTTTAAAAATATTTGGAATTATACAGGGTGCGCCCATAAAGTAGGGCGCAAAATGGTACATTTTTTTAAATAGAACCCCCTGTATTTTAATGCATTTTTGAATTCTACGTGTAATTGTACGTTTTTTTTTATTATATGGTTAATATCCGAAAGGCTAGTAGTTTTAAAGATAATTCGATTTTTAAGAAAAATTGGACATTTGCAAGCGTCAGTATATATTGTCAAAATTATTACTTAAATTTTGATTCCAGGTTTTATATCTTTTATCCAGGGTTAAGTAAAAGTCAAATAAATACATCTACTATAAAACATTAAAAAAAATAGCTTACAGGGTGTTTTTTTCTAGATCCAAAATTACAAAACTTAATATTAAAAATCTCACTTTTTTTTAATGGAACACCCTGTATATTTTTCTGTCATCTTTTAGCTCCTCCAAAAACCTTCAACTTTTGATAATAATGCAAAATGCAAAAAAGACAATTTTTATTTATCTCGTCCAAAACGAAAATCATATCGATTAATTTATTTTTCAAACAATTTATTTTAAGTCCAAAAACTGGAGAATAATTAAAAACATTTGACTACAAAGCAAATTTAATTTAACTCCTAATATCATCCAGTCAGTGATATTAGTTTCATTTTTTTTCATATTCACCTCGTTATAATGTAAAATGTAAATTAGAACTTATTTCAGATTAAAATATAAAAAGTAGAAAAACCAAGATATTTGTTTATGTTTTTACTATCAAATTTATTCTCCAGTTTTTATAGACTTAAATGAATTAATAAATATGATTTTAGGTTTGAACGAGGCAGATAAAAATTGCCTTTTTTTGCATGGCTATTATGTAAATTACATATAACTCATTTAAGATTAGAATATAAAAACCAGGAAAACCAAGATGTTTTGAAAACTATCAGATATAGGTATAGGACATTATTATCAAAAGTTGAAGGTTTTTGGAAGAGCTAAAAGATGACAGAAGTTTTGTAACTTTGGATCTAGAAAAAAACACACTGTAAGCTATTTTTTAAATGTTTAATAGTAGATGTATTTATTTGACTTTTACTTAACCCTGGATAAAAGATATAAAACCTGGAATCAAAATTTAAGTAATAATTTTTTGACAATATACTGACGCTTGCAAATGCCCAATTTTTCTTAAAAATCGAATTATCTTTTTTTCGGATATTAACCATATAATAAAAAAGACGTACAATTACACGTAGAATTCAAAAATGCAGTCAAATACAGGGGGTTCTATTTTAAAAAATGTACCATTTTGGCGCCCTACCTTGTGGGCGCACTCTGTATAATTCCAAATATTTTTAAAATGTGGAGAATATTCAACTATACAAAAGCACTCTTATCGAAAAAGCTTATCTGCAAGGCATTAAGTTACTCCGCACAATCGTTGACTCACCCTGTACAGTGAACAAAAATAAACAATATTTCCAACAAATCAAAAGTGCAAAATAATTACTTCAAGAGCTAAGCTATGTCTTCGGAAACCCCAAAATGCGTGTTTCTTCTATAATTTTTTGGTTCTTTCATACCCTCTGTCCGAGTTTATAAAACTTTATAATCTCCCACATTAAATGGCGCACCACGAAACCTTTCTTGTCGATTGTTTATTGTACTATCTACACTGTGTCTTAAATAAGGATGTCATGGGGATTTGACGATTTCGTTTTTATTTTAGCATTGGAAATGCTTATGTTTTGTATGGGTATGAATTTACCAGGTTTGCCGAGTAGAAAAGAAGACAGTGGTGTCGCATCTAGTGTTGATTGTACCGTACTCAACTGCAATCGGTAGATTCAGGAAGGGGGTTTTGTTAATTCGAATTGAAAATTCTCGCACATCGCTCGTGATAGCATTACAAGCATGTTACGACGCTTATTATTCAGAAAGTTTACGTTTGCGACACGCTTGTTTAAGATTATTCCGTGTGAATAAGGGTTTATGGCTTTATGTTTATAGATTATACGGTTATCATTTCCAATGTCTCCGATGGTTGCAAGGATTGCGAAATCTGTAAATTTTTTTCTAATGTTATTTGAACATACACAAAAAATTTAAAAAATCTCTCTCATTGCCACTTTTTGAGGTCTGCAATACACTGTTTGAGAGATTTTCAATGCAACATTTCATTTATGAGAAATCACCATGGACTTTATTTTTTATATGGCCCATAAAAAAATACACACTGTATTGAGTAGTATTTATGCGTTGTGCGTGGATGCACCATCCTGTTGAAACCAACAGTTTCAAACTATTGTATTTTTTTGTGTGCTGTACATCGTTATATTCATAATAAAAAATGCAACTGTTTCTATAGACAATACAAAAAAAGTATATGATTAAGTAAGTTAAGTTTTGTGTAGTGCGAGGTGTGGTGGTTAAGTTTTTTAGTGTACAACTGAATTTCTTCTTCTTTACTATTTACGTATAACTATGAGACATGTTGTTTTATTTACAAACACAAACATTTATTCCAAAAGAATCGACCTGCTCATAAGTCATAATACTAGATCTAAAAGTATACTACGACCAAACAAACATTGCATTTTATCAAAAGAACTACTATTTGGGATGTAAAATCTTTAATTTACTAGGCGAGGATATTAAGTATGCGAAAAACATCACTATACTTATTTAAACAAAAACTAAAAAGATTACTAATATCCATCAATCCATATACCTATGTTAAATGGATATTTTAACAAACCACAATTACTGTCTTGAATTGAATAAATGTGATACTTTATGTTGCTCTTGCAGAATATTATTATTATTACTAGGTTGAGGTGATAGAGCAATGGATGAACATTATTCAATGTGTTGAACTTCGCTTAGATTTATTTACATTATTTATATTTCTCCAAAACGAAACGTATTAAAAATCTCTCAATGCTGTCATGTAAAGCTCAAGTAGTGGAAATGAGAAAGATTCCGAAGTAAACAATTTTCAAAAATTGTTACCCATTGCGAAACATTTCTGGTGTCAACATACATACAAGTTTTTGCAAATACAAAAAAAAACAATTCTTGGCTTGCCACAAAAAATGATCAAAATTTCACATTCACTGAGTACACTCTTTACGCACAGAAGAACAAAATTATTAGACTTTACACATGACTAATGGCCGTTTGCACTGACAACTTTAAGCTGAGCTTACCTTAAGCATAGTTTACAATCCGTGGCAACCATTGTCACAATAATCGTTGCTATGGATTTTAAACTACGCTTAAGCTAAGCCTCGCTTAAATTTGTTAGTGCAAAAGGGCATGAACAAATTTATTTTATCATCGAAATTACCTAAATTACACGTGTTTTACATGTTGGAATTAAATGAAATCTTAATGTTGTTGGGCTAAAGAGTTTTATCATGCTTTAAAGGAAACCAGAAAATTTCGATTTCTTCCGAAGATATACCAGAAAAACCAAAATTTGCTGATTTCGTTTTTATTTTTTTTTATGTTATTTGAACAAATACAAAAAAAAAATAAGTAATAATTTTAGAGGGCAGAAAAAACGCGAAACCGTGGCCTAACATCAACATAATAGAATCAAATCAAATTATAAGAAGGTAGTAGATGGCGATGTGTTTGAAGATAAGCACACACAGGAAAAATATAAAAACAGCACCAAATTATTGTAAAGTAGAAATATCCAGCACTGTAAACAAAATAAATCTTTGACATTAGCAGTTAATGACACTTCCAACAGTTTAGATGGCAACAGAAACTACCAGCTTGCAAAATTCGCCACTCGTTTTATGTTTCAGCGTAATACTGACTTGTGTTTTAACCAATCACACTGAAGGTTAAAGCTTCCCTATGCTTTCTACCGCTACCTTCTGAAAATGAATACAGTATAGATTCGTTATTTGAATATTCAGAGAACCTGAGATATTAATAGCGTCAAGATCAGAACCTCCTTTGTCCCCTATTTAGAGATCGATGTTTCATCTTGGAATGAGTTTTTTTTGAAAAATTTAAGGCATGAAATTTTGTACAGTGTTTGAAACTGTAGTAAGCCACTCCCAAAATTCCATGAAGTAAATTAATAATGTAAAATAAATATTAATCAGTGCATTGTTGCTGCTAAAGGAGGTACAGTTTAACTAGGCCTACCCTGACACAATTTCTTATTCTTTTTTAATGCTTAACAGATATAATTACCTTCATTTCAGGAAGACTTTGACCCGCTTTTTTAGGTGGACGAATTCCAAGCTGTCTCGCCAACCGATTTTTAACGCTTTTTGGAACGATCACCCTTCGAACCTTTCGCTTCGCCTTCCTCCTTTTCTTCTTTCTATATTTGTGCACTCTTTGTTTAATGGCGATCTTTTCACCAGTTACCTCATCAATATCATACATAATTTTATATCGAGGTTGTTTCTTAGACTTTTTGCATTTCTTTTTCCTTTTGATAGGTTTCTTTCTGCGAGTGGTAGAAGTAACTGCATTCGATCTCGGTCGAGAAGGACGCGCGGGTCCTTCTGCATTGGATTCAACCAACTCGTCACTGGTTTCATTATTATGACGTTGTGTTACAATTCTAGTTCTAATGCGTTCATTCTGCCGCGTCCGTGGTAATCTAAAAGTAAATAAAGAGTATTAATTTCAAGCACATCAGTTCATAACATTATGGTAGGTAAATTGTACAGAACAAAAAAATCGAAAAAAATTTCCCCATTAATGGAATATCTTTGGCAATAATATTTTGCCCAAATGTCCAAAGATGTACTCGATAATTAACTATTTTAATAGCACTAACACGACCACGAAACCACCTGACTGAGAACGGGGCGTGTCGTGCCCGTGACGTCACCGGGCGAACGCGGTTATACCAGTTGTATTTAAAGCGGCTTAGTTTTCAAGGTTTATTTTGTGCTAATGTGTGATTTCGTCGTTGTTGTGAAAACTGAGAAGTGGTAGAAAAATGGAACCAGGGTTCTTACAAGCACAGAGACACAATTTGCTAAGAATTGGCTCTTTTATGCTGATAAAGTTTATTGGACGCAATCCTGACTTTGTAGGTGCTGAAATCCCTATTATCCTTGTACATATTAATAAAGCAATAAAGTTTTCCGAAAATACCGAAGACGCATTAGGGTACTACCTGAAATGGGCTAAATAAGCCGTTGAAGGCTTAAGGTATCTGCCCACTACACCGTACCGTATCATAACCGTACTATGAATGTATCAGGCACGGAAAATATACAATACTACTACTATGCCCACTAGACCGTATCAACACTGTATCACCGGGAGCATCCGCGTGTCGTATCCATACGATTCCCGTTGGCTCGGTTGTACTTGTATACAAACGTGTCAGGAAGAGGGTGCGAAACGAAAAGTCGAGGGAGAATACTGGGCATTATTTAAACCTAGTCGATGACGAAAAAAAAATGTCATATGTACTTCCGTATGTTCATCATTTCTGCGCCTGCGCGCACCGGTTTGGGACCGTCGCGTGCCGTGCACGGAGCGTATCGGCACCGTCAAAATATTCGTTGACGCTCCGTGCATGGCACGTTACGGTGCTGGTATATATATAATATTTTTTTTGCCTGGCACGTTCCTGTTACAGTCATGGTATGATACGTTGTAAAGGGTAGAGACCTTTACTTTGTCACTGATGGGATAGAAAATTGTATTTCAAACATGGCTAAGTACTCGTAATATAGTTTTATTGGTAGCATTCCAAATTATTATTTAAAATAGTTTACGGATCAGTGGGCTTCTGCCACTTAACTTGTAACTCAAAAAAGTCAAAAAGTAGTGTGAATTTTTGCCAGAACCGGAGTTATAGTGTGCATGAACGAATATTTTTCGTTAACGATCATTTAAGAGGATTTAGTGGTAGTCTGGTCGTAATAGGGGAACTAGTATATATTTATAAAGTAACCTGGTTGGGAAGGAGCGCTGTAAATCATATAGATACACACTAATTCGCTCTTTGAGACATTTTCCTAACAGATTCTAAATATGATCTTTGTTTAAATAGTCCCAAAAGCCCAAATTATATTATAAAAGGGACCTCCACAAGAGTGCCGAATTTAATTTTAAACAAGTATAAATTGTGCACAACTCTTGTGCAGATAAAGAGCATTTTTTTAAACCGAAATAGCTCTTGTTTTGACATCACCAATGGATATATTTCTTGCTGACGTCTCAATCGCCTTTTGTGAGTACCCTCTTCCAACAGTTCTTGAGGTATAAGGGAATATAAGATAAGATAAGAGGTCGAGGACTCGGTTGAAGAGGAGGGCTATGGTTGGCAGAAATTAATTCTTTTCGTTGAGACCTTTCATTAGAGTACCATGAAGGATAAAACGAGTTAAAACTATTTTTTTTAATTCTTAAAAAATGCGTTAAAAATTACTAAGTAACTAAATTCAAACGATCATCACTTCTAGACACGCTAGATGTAGAAGCTATAGGCTACTACAATCTTATTTCTTATGGGCGCCATGTTGGATTGGAGATAAAGGACAAAATTCGATATTTTACATTATAATATATTATTATCGTGGTTTATTTTCAGTTTTTGTTTTACTTTCTTATATCTTTTTAAATAACTTCAGTAAAAAATAAAAACGATTTTGCAAAATTTCGGCTTTTTCCGGATATCTCCGAAAGTAATTAGTTGGAATGTTTTCAGTTTCAAAACTGCATTTTGTAAAGCATCAAAATACGCAACTTTGCCAAATTTACCTACGTATCTCTAACACTTTCCGAGATCCCCATAGTGGCCCTCGAATTTGAATCAGCCTGTATATTAGTAAATTTCCAAAAATACATCGACGATTTTAATGACATTTCTTTTCAAATACGCTATAAACAATTGTGTAAACATGTGGAGATTATTTTTTATCATAAAACTTTTAGGTTTGTGCGCACAACCCTGAGCCAGTCGTTCAGTGTTGAATCTTTTTCTCTTGCTTTCCGCGCTTATTTATGTACGTAATTAGACGCAGCGCTTGCAACAGAATATCCTGTTCCGCATAAGGTAGACAGCCAAGAGTTGCATTTCAGCGATATTCGTATGTAACCCGAATATAACCACATTCATCATTTAATTAAATACATTTTTTGTAATCAGCATTTGAGAATTCAATGTCAATGCATGGCATAAATCAGCTTACATATTATCATTGATATGTCGGTAGATCGGTAAATACTAAGGGAAATCGAAAGTTCTACTGAAAAATCTCTAGACGGAACAACACTTACAAGTAAAAATTAAGAGGAGAGAATGTAACGATGGTGAGAAATAGCCGGAAGTCACAATCATAATACGTCCTTTGCGCTGGTCAGTTATGTTGACTTATGATAAAACAGAAGAGACGATGTCAGTTTATTGTATTACGTCACTGCCATTGCAAGCTTCTGAACGCATTGGCGGTCCTATCAGTAGAAAAGAAAATCGTAGTCTATCCCGAATTTTGGCAACAAAGTCATTAACGTCTTTTATGACTTCAAAAATAGAAAAATGCATGTTATATACAAAAAATAAGAAGTCCGATTTTACTTGTGCCCACCATTTCTCAGAACCCACAAGCCGCCACTGGTTAGGACCAGGAATAAATAACGGTAGGCACGAGATCCTTACTCCATTCTTTCGTATGAGCCGCCTATCATCGAAGTTTATACAGTTCAATGAAAAACAGTGAAGCATATACAAATACAAACAAATTTTGAAATGGGCAGTAGTTTTACTTTTATTCGAAGTGTCTACAAATGGAACTTTTTATAAATGCTTTCGTAAAAATTGTCTACAGTAGAAATTTCACACCTTCATAAATAAAACATACAGCATGCAGTGATTTTGAAACTGGTATTAGTTTTAGTTTCATTCAAAGTGCCTACATATGGTATTTCATTCAACTGCTTTCATAAATAAGAAACTTGGCATTGCGCATGCGCAAAACAACATTTTGAAAACGTCGTTAATTTTACTTATATTCGTAGTGTTTACATATAGTTTCATTGAAATATCTTCCTAAATAAAAAAGTTAGCATTGCACATGCGTTAAACCAAATTTTTGACACTGCGCATGCGCCAAATTAAAAAAAATATCGGTATGCACGGAATCCTTGAACCAAGCCTTTAAAATGAGCCCCGTATCGCCCAAATCGGTTCAGTGGTGTACTCGGTGGTGTAGAAGGAGTACGTGTGACGGACGGACGGACGACAAACTGCAGCCAATAGCGATTTTTCACTTTGAGGGAAAATACGCTAAAAATGAATTGAACGCACTTCAAAAATAGGCTGTGCATCTGAGATTAAAAGACGCAAGAAAACTATTGCACATGCTCAGACATACATTTCTTATTTGTTATTATTATTATTATTTTTAAAAACATCTAATACCATTAAATTAAAATTATTTACGTTAATACAAAGATCTGTCTTACTACAAACATGTCACATTGTATGGAAATTTTTCAATTTAAATTAAAATCTAAAGCATATTTGATATGTAAATTTTATTTTTCCTTTTTACAGCGTTAATAGTAATAATTTAAAAAAAAAATTATATAAATATCTCGAGTACAAAAAATAAGTTATGGTTGGTTATTGCCCCATCATTTATAATAGTTATACCAATCTAATTGTGGAATAATAATAATAATATAACAGTTGGTGAAAATCACGATGTTATTAACCCAGAGATGATTTTTTCGCTTAAACTTTTCTTTCGTGAATTTAATGGCAGTGTCCTTCCAGGTAATCCTTGCTTGGTCAATTTTACGTGAAATATATTTTGAAGAAATTGGCATTTAATTACCTAAACTAAATCAGGTTTTTCTACAATCGACATCCAAAAAAGTAGGCATTTGCGCTCGTATTTGACAATGCAAACCGCTCGATTGTAAAAAAAATATAAGCAATTAGATGCTGGATGGAAATCTTTGTAGCGTTGCTATATGCAATAGCAGTAGCAGCTCCAACAAATCGAAAGCAAATTGATTGCAGATTCAGTTTTTCACTTTTCCAAAAGGTAATTCCTGTATTACAAAAAGAATGGGTTATAAAGTGCAATGGAAAGGGGAACCTGAACCCAGTATATGCAATAGACTCATTTCCCGTCCGAAGACTTATGAAGATGAAATGTAAGCTATTTTGAATATAGTGTGTTTAATATTTCGTTAGCATGTTTCTTTCTATGCAATGCAGGAACTTTTCAGCACATCTATGTAAAGTACCTACCATTTTGCATTTTTTGAACTTGCTCTATTGTTGTGGCGTTAATAATTAATTTTTATGATTTGGACAAAATGGGACTCTGGGTGACGTCATTCGCGTATTTTAATACTGAACGTTTATTGGCTGAAAGTTACGAGGCAACCTACTTTCTCTATTAACCTTGATAAGTGTCGGGGTTGGTCGGTTAGCCCGCCTCGGTTCCTGTGATCCTTTAATTTACGCGCAGTCGTATATACAAAATGTAATCACTTAGTTCCTTGACCATTACTTATTACCTACCAACAACAGATTTGGAAAATTCGAAACCGTTCGCGAGTTATCATGTACAAAGACGAACGGACAGAAAGTCCAAATTATCAAAATTTAATCAGCAAGTTCCTCGACTAGTTCCTTGACAATTCTCCATCTACCTATTACCAAAAAAAAGAGAAAATTCAAAACCGTTTGCGAGTTATCTGTAAACAAGCAGACAGTTATCATCTCGCTTATCATGTACACAGACGGACGGACGGACAGAAAGTGCAACATCATGAATTTGCTTTTTGTCGCTCGTTAATCAAAAGTAAACAGAAAAGATCAGTAGATAAAAGCCACAATTTAAGGTGGAGTAACTGTGTTACCCCTCTCTGGTGAGTACTGATTTTCAGAACAGCAGGAGGGGAGGGTTAAAATAACAGTTCGTTTTCATTTTTAATGAATGGCTGCAACCGAATTTGGCTGGGATAACCAATTCGAAAAAAAAACCTATTAATGTGGAAATGCGCCTCTTGTAAATTATTTATGATTTTTTGTAACTTGGTGTCATTATTTTGTTACACCCAAACTCGCACCCAAATGAGTACTTATTTGGGACTGTGCGTTTGCTGTTTTGAGTTTTAAAGTTTGTGCCCCTGAAACATGAGCCGTTGCGGCTGATATGGGCATGTCTGGATAATATACTACCATTGTCATAAGGGTAATGATATGGTCGACCGACTAGTCAGAGAAGATTAAAAGATGCCTTTTAAAGGGCTCCAGCCGATATGTGAATTGCACATGTAATGGTGGGAAATGAAATGGAAGCCATTCTCAAAGAATTGAAAGAATCTTCGGTCAGAGAAAAGCAAAGGGTCTACTTTCCTATTTCTCCTCATGCTATTGGTCAATGCACAAGTTTCTTGGAGAATGAAGATTCCTCGAGATGCACTCATGCTAGAAAATGCTGCTCCAGGAAAATTTTGGATTAGTTCAAACATATTGAAATCATAAGAGAGTAAGACTAAAACTAAAGGGTACAATAGATCTTAAAGTCGTGGTACAGGGTTTTTGTGAAGTAGCTCTATCTATTTATTAAGCACAGAGCTAAGCCTAGCAATGAAAGCAATGCATTCACAATTGGTCAATAAATACAGAACGGAGACCCACTTACTGGGTGACAACTTCAAAGATCAGACCCTGAGCCTCGCCCTGAGCATGGGCGATTCTACCCAAAAGCTTTTCAACTCTGCCTTTTATCTCTAAGAATATGTGTACCAAATTTGGTTCCAATCTGATCAGCTGTTTAGCAGAACAAAAGAGTACAGTCAAACAGATCAACACCATCGAGATTTTTTAAATTTGGTGCTTCAAAAAGTGTATTTTCCTCAAAAAAATGAGGAGCCATTTTTTTTCGAATGCAATACCTCCCTTGCTAACGTGAAAGTGGTAAACACCATGCACATGGTATCAACATCTCAGAGTATCTTGGCCTACCTAAATTTATCTAGTGTGTGATTTATGTTTCACCTTGGAAACTATTGTTTGTTTGATGAGCGATAGCTGCACTGCACCAAGGTTAGTAGAGAGAGTAGGTTGTCTTGTAACTTTAGAGAGACGCGTCATCGAGAATCCGGAACTCCCATTTGATTAGTGTTTAAATTTTCGTTGACTTTGACAGTTATATTTGAACTGTGTAAGTACTTAATTGTCAGACAGTGCTGATGAATCTATTACGAATACTTATTATAATTCGATTGAATACTAACTGTTACTTAAGTAGGTATCAATATAGGGTATTAGATGCCGGATGGAAATCTTTGTGACGTTGTTATATGCAATAGCAGCTTCAACAAATCGAAAGCAAATGGATCGCAGATTCAGTTTTTTGCTTTTCCTAAAGGTAATTCATGGGTTATAAAGTGCAATGGAAAGGGGAACCTGAACTCTGTATGCATGCAACGTGCAGTTCCCGGCCGAAGACTATGAAGATGAAATGTAAGCTACTTTGAATAAAGTGTGTTTAATATTTCGCTAGCACGTTTCTTTCTATGCAATGCAGGAAATTTTCAGCACATCCATGTAAAGTACCCTTTCGATCCATTTTGCATTTTTTGAACGTGCCCTGTTGTCGCGTTAGTAATTAATTTTTATGATGTGGACAAAATGGGATTCTGGGTGACGTCATTCGCGTATTTTAATACTGAACGTTTATTGGCTGAAAGTTACTAAGCAACCTACTTTCTATATTAACCTTGGCACTGCACACCAAAAAATCTAAATTACTAACAAAAGCCAAATAGTTATTAAAACAAGTAAGGCCATGGATATTGTAAACCTTTGTTTAATAGAAACATATGAACCTTTCTTTATATTAGGGCTGAGGTTTGCAAAGATAAGAATTAGTGCAAGAAATGAAACAACCCAACAATTCATGAAAATTGAAGTTACCTTGGAGCTCCATGTCGTTGATTAGTGTTGACAACTGCATCTGTTTCTTCATCTCCCAAATAGAAGCTCAAGTTGACAATTTCAACCACATTGGTTGTTCTTCTGCACGATGGACAAAACCATTCTCCCTCGGGGACCTCAGTCAGAGGAGGATCGAGGCATTCTAAATGGTAAGCGAGATCGCATCCGTCACATAACAACAATCTATCCTCCTGAAGTGACGACCCACATATTTCGCAAGGAGTTAAATCTAGTTCCGGCTCATAAATATCTGCCACTATTCCGTTTGGTTCAGGTATATCGACACTTTTAATGTATTTGCCGGTATAGCTACTTCGCACGATAATTAAATCGAATTTCTTACGGTCAACTGGGCAAGTATTAACACTTTTAGCCCATTCCTGTATGCACTCCGAGCAAAAGCTGTGGTCACACGCCTCAGGTGACCCGACTTCTTGGTTTTTAAACGATGCTAAACAAATTGGACACTTCTCCGTCTGATCATCACCGCTATCAGATGATGAACTCTCCTCGTCTATCTGTATATTCTGTGAAGAAGAAGGTTTGGGAGAGTTTTCTTGGTCTGACTCGCTGCTATCATTGTCGGATTCAATTTTTGCCTTCTTCTTTACTCTTCGAACAATCTCAGAATTGGAACTTTCGGACGCCTGCTAAAAATATGCAAAAATGAAACGTGTACAATAACATTTTTGAATAAATCTTACATCTACACCTTCCTCATTATCGCTTCCATTTGAAGAATCACTATCCGATTCCGAATCTGATTCTTGTAAATACAAAGTTTTCCTTTTTCTGGGTGGATTTCCTATCGAGCTGTCACTAGAGGAATCCTCATACACAATTAGACGTTTTTGTCTAGCACTTGAATTTGGGTTCTCACTGTCCGAAGTCATATTTTTACATTAAGAAATTCAATGAAAACAAATGCTAGCTTAAAATGAAATAGGAGAATCACTATTCAAAGTGGGCACATTTTTAATCAACATTTTCGGAAAGAGATAAGTTCATGTTGAAATACTGAATGTTAATGTTCGTATAGTTTACATTTTGTTTAAAAACTGAAAAAACTGATTAAGATAATTAAGAAAATACGATTGGAAAACGTCACTTTACTTTCGTAGCACGAAAGCTACACTTGCTTTCTTTTCGACTTTTCTACTCCCACTTTTCGATCATATGGCTACGAGCGGTGTTGTCACCTCTAATCGCTTTTATACGTATCGGTTAAAATACACGTTTTGAAAGCACCAGAATCCGAATCAAACAAAATCTCGATTATGTCGGTCTGTCTGTACGCTCATTTCCGGCCAAACGGTTGGAACCTCGAGTGGTAATAATTATTTGTCTGCCAAGATGCGCTCTACAGAAAATAATTTCATTCCATCATTGAATTTATAACATGATTCCATTTAATTCTAATTAAATTTCAGATATCAGGTAACCAATTGACATCTCCGAAACGGTGAAACCCACGATGGTTCAATTTTGTATGCAAAAAGTTGATGATGAGAACGGAAAGTTGCACCATGTCCTGCTGAAACCAGACCTACAGTGACTTTATAGAGACAGTGGCGACAGCAGGGTATCTCGTTTTTGATTGGTCGTTTGTTCTGGTCGCCATATTGGAGCTAAATTCCAAACTGGCCAATAGAAAGCCTCCAAAACGACGCGGTACACTCCGTGCTATAATTATTAATTATACTGTTTTGACAGTGTCACCTGTAATTGTCACGGTTTCACGTTACTAGTTTAGACTTTGCTTCTTGTATTTGCTTTATTTTACGTTTTCCGTCTCTAGTTTTATATAAAATCGATTTTAAAGACGCATATAGCCGAGATATAGCTTGAATTTACGATATTAGGTATGTAATTCGCTTAAAGTGTTTTTAGATGTAAAACTGTTCCTAACCTTACTACTGGTAATTGATGTAAACATTTTTTCCGAAGCCCTCTAATGAGTTTAGAAAGAAAACTGGTCAGCGAAGCAGCTTATCCGAAATTTAGCAGCAAATTCAATTATGGTTATGGATAATTGTGATCATACGCTTGAATGGGTTTAATGTTTAAAATTGATGATTGCTGAAGCACATATACGACCGGATTACACATAAATTAAAATCCCTCCAGTGGCTTGATATGAACAACAGAAGAATATTACATTCTGCCTGTTTGTTCCATGGCATACTTCAAACCAAAACTCCGTCATATTTATTTGAAAAGGTAACATACAGAGCTGACGTCCATAATGTCAATGTTAGAGATCGGTTTTTTATAACTATACCTACTCACAAAACGTCACTATTTAAACGCTCCTTCAGTTACAATATTGCAAAGACGTATAATGAATTACCATCTCATTTAAAACATTTATCCGAAAGTCTTTTTAAAAAACGCTTGCGCCTCATACTCCTTTCAAGACAGCATTAAGTTCCATCGTTAATATCATTATTGCTATAATTTTTTTTTTTACATTTTTTTTTTTTCTTTTTAGGTTTTCATTTGTGCCTTCATACTGAATGGTTTTTATTATCATATAGTTTTTTCTTGCTAGGTTTTTTTTATGTCTTGGTCTCTTGTTGTTAATTTCATATGTAGGGGGTTGAGTGGTAGAGCAGACGGAATAACACGGTTTATTCCAGTCTGAACTTCGCCCTATTGAGTCACCCATTATGTAATGTAATGTATAATATCTGTTCTTTGTATGGTGTGTGCTCAATAAATGTCATTATTATTATTATTATTAGTATTGATCTCTTGTACTCCGTGGACTAAATCAACGTGTTTTGTCTTTCATTTAAGGGGGTAAAGTAATACTTTTTATCCGAGAAACACGCGACAAGGACCAATAACTGAACCACTGAAATGTCAAATACAATTTAATAATTAATGCTTACCTTGTACATTTTGGATATTGCACCATATTTTATGCTTATGATATCGTTTTCCATATCTTTTTGAATTTGGGACACAGTGTTTTTGCCATAGGTTGTTCTGCAAAGCTTTAAACGTTCATCTTTGCGCCGTTAGTTTTGAACGAGAATCTTTACTTCAATGAAACTGGCCTTTTTATAATTCTACAGTCACAATTTGACATGGCGAGGGATATTGATCCTACAATCATTTTTTTTTAGGTCCAATACGGCAGATTATGATAAGTTGTCTTGTCGCCACTGTCCTTATAAAGTCACTATAACCAGACCTAGATCGATATTTTTCTATTTCCCCTACAATACAAAAACTAATTTGTCATATCCTGATAGCGCTCGCCGTTGAACGTTACATTTGCCGCATTGAAATTTATCTACAATATGTGATTTTGCATAATTACATTACATTTTCGAAATGCGGCAACTAAGCACTCCGTTCATGCGCAGTAAACCTTCGTAGTAAAAAAAGAAGTCTACGAATAGCCACTTCCTCTTTTAGGTTGCGCTTTGACAACTTGTATTTACCTGGATTGTTAGAAGAATATACTTTCCGTTAAAATGGGTCGTATGCACACTCCTGGGTTAGTACTAACGTTGTGAAAAAAAACCTAGAGCTTAATATAAGATACTTGACTTCATAGTAAGAAAAAGAGTTACCAAATCTTATAGGTTATACCTCATGGCGTGACCATGCCTTTAACATATTTGAAACTTGCAGAAGAGACTAATTTTTATTTTATGTTGCAGAAAGGGTATTGCACAGTCTGCATTACCATATAGAAGAAGCGTTCCAACATGGCTCAAATTGACCGCGGAGGATGTGAAAGATCACATCTTTAAGTTGGGCAAGAAGGGATTGACTCCTTCCCAAATAGGTATGTAGTGTATGTAGATGCATTTATATAATTATTCATACTCGTAATTTTTATAGGTATCATTTTGAGGGATTCGCTCGGTGTCGCTCAAGTACGATTTGTGACTGGTAATAAAATTTTACGCATCATGAAGGCAATGGGTTTAGCTCCTGATCTACCCGAGGATTTGTATTACTTAATCAAAAAGGCAGTTGCAATTCGTAAACATTTAGAACGCAACAGGAAAGATAAAGACAGCAAGTTCCGTTTAATTTTGGTCGAATCTCGTATTCATAGACTTGCGAGATACTACAAGACCAAAAGTGTATTAGCACCAAATTGGAAGTACGAGTCGAGCACAGCGTCAGCGTTAGTTGCTTAACTTTTGTAATGTATGACATACTTTAATTCTTTAATAAAATCCATAAATTTATTATCTTCTCTTATTTATAAACATATATTCCCGAGATGCATTTTTGGAGGAGAAGTTTGCCTACTAGTGATAAAACCATCTATAGATTTCAGATGCAGATCGTAGTTGGAAGGTAGAAATTAATACCTTTACTCAAGCCCATTTGTTTGAATACCATGGATCAGATCAGGTTTTAGAATGCTAAGACAATTCTTTTAAAATGAGTTGAAAACCATATAGTAGGGGAGCTACCTCGAAATCCACTGAACGAAAGTGATCAAAATTTTAACCAATGGAATTGACCGTCTCAGGTCATATGACTTGAGGAGCTGGGGTACTTCTTGTAGTACCAATTCTTAATGGTTGTTTTTGAAGAAAATAATTAAGTTATATATCAAATGAAAACGTTGATAATACCTCTTTGAAGGCTCCTTAAAAAATTTGAAATATCGGTTTTAGTTTTTTAGGAAGTCGTTTTTCGTAAATAACAGCCATTGTAATGAGGGTAGAAAAACGTACCTACAGCACCAATTTGGAAATGCGACAGTATTTCTTAAATTGGTACTTAAAGGTAGGTAGGTATTATTTCCATGTATTACTCGTAGTATTATAATAATGCAGTATACATTGTGCAGATAAAGCGCAATTTTTTTAGCCGAAATAGCTTTTGTAAATAGCTTTTGTTTTGACATCACCAATGGATATATTGGTTGGTAGAAATTAATTCCTTTCGTTGAAACCTTTCATTAGAGTACCATGAAGGATAAAACTAGTTCCACCCCCTCCCCCTCCACCCCGTACTTTGATAAGAGTACAGAAAGAAGGGTAGTAGTTGGTAGAAAACGGTTCCTTTCGTTGAAACCTTTCTTTAGAATACAATGAAAGCAATTGGTTCGTATGTAAAAGTTATATGCACGTTTTACTTTCAAAAACAGCATCTCAGGAAATAATTTGGGGAGGGGGGGCTTTTTACACAGCGAAATTTGATGGCCGTCTGGCACACCTTCAAGGTATAGGCTACCTAACTGCAAAAAATTCCAGGACGCTAGGACCATTCCCCTAGAAGTAGTTCAATAAACGGTAGAAATGGGTCCGGACGGACGGACGGACAAAACGCAAACAATAGCACATTTTTTTAATTCTTAAAAAATGCGCTAAAAATAGCGACCCCTCATAGAAAATGTAAAAGGGGAAGGAGAGTTAAATTTACAAACCACCCCTCAAACTCGCGCCTAACATTAAACAAAATACGAAGAGTCGCATACGATTTTTAGTAGGGGAATTTTTGACACTCAGCTCGCATTCGGAAACCAGACTTTTAATCGCGCTCATATTCAATAGCACATCTTTGAACGAGCGTAGAAATCGATTGGCGAAGGTTTGACATCGACACATCGTTGTCGAGTTATACGCAGGTCCCGGGTTATAATTAAACGAGCTAAGTGGGCCATATCCCAGGGCATCACTTTCGGGGGATGTGCTAAATTATACAGTGATATTCATTTAAAAGTAGACATAGTGATTTCGTATGTCTATACTTCTAAAAGACGCCTAATTTTATGCAACCGAAATAACATGCGCACACATTTTGTTGTAATCTATAAAAAAATAGATTTTAACAATTTTAATAAAAACGACAGTAGCTAGTATGCTTGTAGGTTATATGATGAAGACATATTAAATTCAACCATTTCCCTTAAGTTTCTTATGGGATTCTCTTCCACAAAAGTTAAAACATTCAGTTTCATTCTTCAGAAGAGATTTTGTAATTTAAAACTAGACATAGGAAATCCCTGTCATGTCCACTTTTAAATTAATATCACTGTATATTTTTTTCCTTATTTGAAATTTATATCTGGGCTTGTGGATAATTTTTGTCAAAATAAATGTGCAAAAATAAATGTACATATCATTCGACGCTTGTACCTA